TATTTAATCTGGTCAAAGATCACATGCTTATGCATTTATTTTGCTTATGAGAACATTCATTTTACTTTAGATGATTATTAGTATACGGGTGATGTTGTACTGATGTGCACAACTGAACCTTGATTGCAGCTTGCTGGGAGTTGACTCCTCATGTCAGCAAATGGTAAAAATATTAAGATTTAGTTAATTTCTCAACTCTCGTTCCAAGAATATCACATATACTGTAAATTTTCTTTATCTGAGTTGATTTTTGAGTCAGAACTTGCTAGTTTTTGCAGAGATACGACCATATCCCGAGCAGTATGTAGTGTTTTTATCTATATATATTTTTAGTTTTCACCTATTTAGCATATTTTATAAGATGTTATGTGAATGGCTGTATTTACTAAGTAATAAACTGTAGACTAGATCTTTGGACATTTCCATATGCTTTACATTTGTTTCACGTTTTTGCAAAGTAGATGAAACATACATTGAATTATGCAATTTGTTCATGCCTGTATATTCACTCAAATCTGCTCTTAAGTCTAGAAAGGCTGTTGTGCAAACTCACTTGTTCCAGCTTTTGATATCAGCAATCTGTCTAATCTGATTAGTATTCGAGCAGTACTGTATTGCTTTCCTGAAATTTTTTAAATCTCTGTAGTTTCATTTCTCTTAGTTATAATTTGTTTCTTTACTTATATGCAAACCTAGATATGTTTACAGGTTACAGAAACACCACTTGAACAGTTCAGGGGCATATCAGTATTTTGTGTTGCGAGCACAGAAGATAGCTTTGTCCCATGGATACGAAATCATTAACTGGTACAAATGCGTGGTGTGAGTTAGCCATTCGTTTATGTCCTAATTCATCCGACTAATAAAATGTATAAATTACAGGGAAGAGACTTTCAACGACTTTGGCAATAAGTTGAGCCGGAAAACTGTGGTCCACAACTGGTATGTCTATTGAGTCTGATAGCCATATTAATAGCATAAAATTTCATGTACCATGCTATTATTTCTCATATACTAACAAATGCTTAAAGATGTGTACTATGTGGTGAATGATATGTCAAGAAAAGTGCCCCTCTTATAGGCAGCATGGAGATTCGTTTTTTCTGCTCCTTTGTATTGTATCCTTGGCTTGGATTTAACTGATCTGTTGTGCATTATTTTAGTTGATGGATTTGTTGTTCAACCCGGCCTCAGTTTCCAAGCCATTAGGTGGTCTCAATTCCCCCAAAGTGAAATGAGATAAAATTAATAGTTTTCTTGTGATGTCCTTGCAGGCTCGGGAGTGGTGTTGCTCAGAAAGTGGTTGCAGCCGGGTTGCGTTGCATTGTAAGCAATCAAGACGCATGGTATTTGGATCATTTGGATACGACTTGGCAAAATTTCTATCTAAATGAGCCTCTCACTAATATCACTGATCCCAAGAAACAAGCATTAATCCTTGGGGGCGAGGTATGCATGTGGGGTGAACATATTGACGCGTCTGACATTGAACAAACCATATGGCCACGTGCTGCAGCAGCTGCAGGTACTTCTTTGGAAACCTTCTGTTGCTATATATTTAACGCCCGTCTTTTCCATAGTAATATTGTTTACTTCACCTTGCTACTACCTTAGGTTTAATATAAGGATTGATAAATTAGTTGTCATTCTATTGACATCTCTCAATGAATGGGTTTGAAACTTTATACTAATGTTGCACTGGAATAGTCTACGTAAACTCTGAATGGCA